CCTTGTAATATGAAATCTGAAGTAGTTTGCCTAAAAGACATATAAATTATTTGTTTATGTTTAAAAGTTTACTGTACTTTTTACTGCTACTACATTTTATATTTGGTAAAAAAAACTTACGTAGTAGCTGAATATTCTTTTATTATGTTCTCCTCCTTGCAAGGAAAAATCCAAGAACGCAGAAATCCAGGCCGTAGAAGAATGTCCTGGATGAGAAATTTAAGAGAGTGGTTTGGCTGTACCACTAACGAATTATTCAAAACAGCAGTAAATATAATTAGAATCGCCCTAATGATATCCAATCTCCGATAGGAGAGGCACTCAAAGAAGAAGATGTTCTCCTTGGCAAGTTCTTCGAAAATACGGGATTGACTGTTATAGAAAAATCGTATTCATTTCATGTTAAAAAAATTAAAAGTATGGCTTACTTAATAAATATCTCTGCTACTTTTTGAGCCGCCACTCAAGAATATCGTGCTCGTCTATAATATTCCAAATTAAATAATTTTAAAAACAAATGAATGTATTACTTACTTAGTACCTACAGTTTCTTTATAGTGTATTAACATGTAAACCTTCTACTACAATGCTAGTAGTGATAACCACAAACATACAATCCACAAAAATCAAACAGATAGTTTATTCCTTGAAAGGAAAATAAAATGTAATGAAAAAATTCTTGGTTTACTGATCGATTTTATAAATGACATTTTCACTATATATTTACAAATCAGTTTTACAGAAAAATACAAAAGTAATTAATTTAATTTATATAAAAAGTACTTTCAATTGAGCTAACCGTCTATTTCTTCGTTTTACACTAATACATTTCTTGTAACAACGTCCCATATTTGAATTTACGCAAATAAAGAAATAAATAAAGTCTTTATGAATTAATTGAGCAATACCTATACAACATAGCTTTTCACAGATATACATGTGCTAAGCCGATTCTGGATAAACAAGATACCGACCGTTTTAAAGCTTTCATACTAGTGAGAATTTAACTACACGTAATTTGCTGTGTAAAGATAGATAAACTAGGGATAGGACAGTCGATGCCGATTCGCTTCATCTAAAATTTGCGCCTACGCTCTTAAGTAGGTCTGCAATGTAATACGAAAAGGAGATCACATAGTTATAAAACTACTGAAGCATAAATTTACTGAATATAACCCGGTATGAAGTAATTATAGCGGCAATAAGACAGACTTACAATTCTCAAACATAAAAAAATATGAAAATACATACAGTCGGAAAACTGAATGATTACCCACGCATCATCGATTTATCAATCATCAACCCTTTTTGAGTTATAAACTCAAAAAGGGTGGTAACCCTGGTTTTGCAGCGCAACGGGGAGATAGATGGATATGCCTGCAGTAAAGTAAGAGCTGGCTGTTTGAAATGAAAGGAGGCGAGTGATGTGCGACAGAAAAATTTCTAGGAAACTAAAAGGTGAATTTTACAAGACAGCAGTGAGACCAGCTATGATGTATAGCACTGAATGCTGGGCAATCAAAAAGAAAGGAGAACAACGTAGCATATGGCTGAAATGAGAATGCTAAGGTGGATAAGTGGAGTAACCAAGAAAGGATGGAACCAAAAATGAATATATTAGGGGTGGCAGCTAAGTTTAGTCGTGGCAGCTATTGGCGACGTGCAAGTACTTGGATGTGATACTAGAAACGATCGTGCGCGAGTAGCGAAGAAATCTTGCATTTTTTACTGCAAATTTCATAGATTTCATAAATTCATATTGTCAATTGTCATATTTCATATTCGAAAGAAAATGGGATTTAGGAAATGCTGTGTTATAAATTGTAAAAATACAACAAAAAATTGTCAATTTAAGTTTTATTCGTTTCCAACTTCGAAGCACAAATTACTACAAAGAGAAAAGTGGATTTATATCATAAAAAAGCATAAGTAACATAACCTAAATTATGCATTATTCTTGCGCCCGATTTTAAAGTCAGTTTGAAATAAATAATAAATAAAAGTTCACTTTTAAGTGTAAATTTTAGTTTCATAACACTCACTTAGAGTTCATTTTAACCCAAAAATCAAGTTTAATGTTTAAATTTTATTTTTTTTGAAGTTTACAAAAATGCATCAAGTTCAAGTTTTTCTGAAGATGCATTAAGATATATTCGCTGTCCAAAAGTTTACAGGGAAAGAATGAATTATTCAAACCAATATGATGATATCATGGGCTTAACCTGCTAATTTATGCATTAGCATTATTTATGGTAATTTATTTTCTTAATTCTTCCACATAATCCTTCCATTCTTTTTTGACATTTGCCACTACTAAAGCTTTTCCATTTGACTCAGTGCTTGGTTGAAAAGTTATTTGGTGATTTACTTTCTCAAATCCAGTTTTTATTATTGCATCCATATTAACAGTAATGCTGTAATTTAATAATATATTTATTTATATTTACACTACATACAACGTTTACCTTTTAATAACATACCGACATAACCTCAATCTTACTTTTTCTTCTTATTCTTTTTTGGGGCTACGTCCTTGACAGTTATCCGGTAACCTCGATCTAACATAAAAGCGCAGTAAATTTTGCTGATTTACGACACCAGGTGTCGCTGTTCCGAACTTGCACGGTCCCAATTAGTGCTAAAATGAGAGAGCATAGATTGAGATGGTTAGGGCGCGTTCCACGTCGACATGAGAATCACCCAATTCGAAAATTCGCTGTATATCAGATTCCAAGAAGCTGGAAGAAACGAACACCCAACAAGACGTTGTGGGAGACAGTCATACAGGACGTGTTGTTTAAGGTTGTTATATCATTTTCTATATTTTCTAAGTATCTCAGCTTCGGTGTTCCTCTTGTTCTTTTTCCTACTGGCATCTGTTTGAATATTTTGTTGGTATTTCGCCTTTTTCCATTCATTCTACATGTCCTATCCAACGCAGCCGTCCTATTTTAATGAATGTTATAATATCCGGATCCTGGTATATTTTGTATAGTTCAAAGTTGTATCTTCTTCGCCAAATTCCGTTTTCTTTTGTGCCCTTATATATGTGTCGCAAGATTTTTCTTTCGAAGGTGGCTATCCTCTCTTTTAGTGAGTGTCCAGGTTTCTGAGCCGTATGTGAGTACCAGTCTTATTAAGGTTAGTCTTAGTTACCTAATTAAGCCATGGTAACATTTATTGGCAATAAATATTCGCCTCTTCACTTCCTCCGCAACGTTATTATCAGACGTGACTAGGGATCCCAAGTATATAAAGTTTTTTACCCCATCAATGTTGTATTCTCCTATTGTTATATTTTGTGGCTGCCTTATTTCTGCGTTTTTACTTACCTGCAAATATTTTGTTTTGGTCTGATTGATTTTAAGACCACTATTTTGTGCAGCTCGTTCTATTTGGTTGTATGCCTCTATCATTTCTCTTCTTGATCTTGCGACTATGTCAACATCATCTGCAAATGCTAGTATTTGCACGCTTTTATTAATTAATTAATGTCAACATGACATGTCACCTTAGCATTTCCGTTAAATACCATTCTCTTTCTTGTTACTGACAAAGAATGTAGAGCGTAGAACCATTTTAATTAATTTTAAACTGTTTGTCCTTGTTTTAGTGTAGGGTTTTGTATAATTTTATGTTAAAATTCATGTTTATCACATTTTACGCTTGCTAGATAGCCCATATTTGACGAAATGCCCCTGAAGATGCTATATTAAGCGAAAGTACTTGGGCAAGATTTGATTAAACTTGTGCTCGATATTTGCCTTAATTTTCAAAAAAAAAAATTATTTAAATTCAAAACAAAAGGACTATAATAAAAATATGAAAATCAGGCTACCTTGAGTACAGTGATTTACAAAAGGATTGAAATTCACTACCTTAGTAAAAGTTGGGAATTACGGGGGGACAATATGATAAGACAATCGCCCCGGAAGTTTACATGAAGATTTAATACAATTTGGTGATTTAGTTTTTATAGAACAAGTTTTCTGAGAATACATATTTTTAACCTGCCAGTATTGTTAATGCACAAGTTTTAAGATAACTGTTTTTCCTTTCATAAGAAAAACTGATTGATTTTATGACCACTATTTTGTGCAGCTCGTTCTATTTGGTTGTATGCCTCTATCATTTCTCTTCTTGATCTTGCGACTATGTCAACATCATCTGCAAATGCTAGTATTTGCACGCTTTTATTAATTAATTAATGACAACATGACATGTCACCTTAGCATTTCCGTTAAATACCATTCTCTCTCCTGTTACTGACAAAGAATGTAGAGCGTAGAACCATTTTAATTAATTTTAAACTGTTTGTCCTTGTTTTAGTGTAGTATTTTGTACAAGTTTATGTTAAAATTCATGTTTATCACATTCTACGCTTGCTAGATAGCCCATATTTGACGAAATGCCCCTGAAGATGCTATATTAAGCGAAAGTACTTGGGCAAGATTTGATTAAACTTGTGCTCGATATTTGCCTTCATTTTCAAAAAAAAAAATTTTTATTTAAATTCAAAACAAAAGGACTATAAAAAAAATATGCAAATCAGGCTACCTTAGACAATCGTCCCGGAAGGTTACATGAAGATTTAATACAATTTGGTGATTTAGTTTTTATAGAACAAGTGTTCTGAGAATAGATATTTTTAACCTGCCAGTATTGTTAATGCACAAGTTTTAAGATAAGTGTTTTTCCTTTCATAAGAAAAAATACTTTTTGGCTGTAAATAATTAGACTTAATTTATGTGTTTTTAATCCAATCTAATAAATAAATGGTCAAACGAAATCGCACACATTTTATGTTTACGTTTACGTTTACTCTTTTTCATATTTTTTATTTCATATTTTTATCACCAAATTTATCAAAAGCAGTTGTTAGATACTTGTATCAACGAGTGTTATGGGAAAATCGTTAGTTTCCTCATCTATGAACCGAGATAATAACTAATGTTATTAAATAAAGTATTCTAAGAAATTATCTTAATTAAAGAACTTACCTTGCGGCTAATTGTTTATAATACGCAAAAATCTGTTCACTCAGCTTAAAAACAAACTGATCGAAGCACAAATTTACTTCAGCTTCCACTTCATCATATAAAAACTGCTTTCTAAAGATTGTTAAAGCATACAAAGCACTATCATTGTATAAATCCAGGGGATACAAAACATATCTAAAATATATCAACTTGAGTTAGACAAATATACAAAATATAATTTATGATATACTTACTCCATCATAGACGGTTCCTTAGTTTTTAAAATATGATCTGTAAGAATCCAAGGCATTGACATATCAATAGGGAACTGTATTCTTTTTTCCATTGTAATTAAATCGTTACACTCTTCATTATGATTGTGGCGTACGGTGCATTTCTAGAGATAAAAATTATTTAGTCTAAATATATTATACAAACTCTGGTGAGAAGAGTTTTATAAAAGAGGTAATGTTAAATAGATGTAATTTACTTCTCAAAAAGAAAAAAAGCGATAATTGAAACTGAGAATATATCTCTCGGAATCTGTGATTCATAAGGCACAGCAGGCAATTTTTACAGGCAATCGCTTAAAGTTTAGTCCAGTCGCATCCATATTGTAGACCTGTTAGGACAGTAATTCTTCCTTTTTAATTAATTCTTGTAATCTATGTTTCCATTCGTCTGCTGCAATTTGATCAGCTGGCAATTTTTCACCGCACACGCTTAAAAAATTAACACATGATAAAACTTACCATGTAGTATCTCAGCCTTTTCTTTTAAAATCGCGCCACTTATAGGCGTACCTTTACGACGCTCTTGCATAAACCATAACCATAATGCATCGTCTACACGTTCATTAATTGGTTTCAATCAATACTCAACCAATTACGACACCTTCTATCAAAGTGTGGTGAAGCTCCATCGTGCATAAAAAATAAATATCTTCGCTCGTTTAGCGTTAAATCTTTTAATATCTCGAATAAGGAATTGTTTAAAAAATCAAGATAAATATCACCATTTAAATTTCCAGGTAGAATATGATAACCTATTAATTTGTTACCTAAACTTGCTGCCCAAACATTAACTTTAAATGAGTGTTGGTAATGTGATACCCTTTTGACTCGTGGATTCTCATCACACCAGTAGTGTGCATTATGGGAGAAAACATACCTTGTCGCGTAAAGGTGGCCTCGTCCGTAAAAAGAATGCATTTTAAAAAATTTGAATTGTGGGCTGTCCTTTGTTGTAATGTTTCACAAAAATCCACTCTAACCGGTAGATCATCTGGCAAGAGCTTTTGGACTTGTCTGTAATGATAAGGATGTAATTGTTGTTCTTTCAGTATCCGCCAAGTACTTGAAGAGGACGTATTTGTTTGTCTTGCTATATTCCTTACGCTAACCGTTTGATCTTGATCAAGTAAATTTAAAATATTATTATCTTTATTAATTTTTCTTGATGTCCTTGGTCTACCAGAATTTATTTTATTTGGTCTCACATTCCCAGTTTCTCGACAACGTCGTTCAACGGCTCTAAATGTTTTTTTTACTTGGTAAGTTTCTTCTAGGAAACTTTTCTGCATAACGCGTCACAGCTGCACTAGAACATCCTAAATATTCGCCTAAGGTTAATAACATGTCAGTGTATTCAACATTTGAGTACATTTGGATTTGATTTTACAAATAACAAGGTTTCAAAACTCTAATTATTGCTAATTTATCGTCATAACAATCAATAAATGTCAGATTTCCATGGCACACTAGGAGAAAATAGAGACCTATTAGAACTTTATCATTACTACCAGCATCAGTTATTACTTCAGAATTTTGAAATCAAAATATTCCGAAAACGGTACACAGTATCGAGTTTCACAGTATCGTGTAAAATTGAATGATCTTTAAGTTTACTTGAAATTTTGATTAATAATTATACTCTTAAAAAAGTTATATTGACTAATATTTAGTACGATTCGTGTAACTAGCGCCCTCTATGAGAATCAGATATAAAAACAAATTCATGGAATGTATCAGCTTCCAAAACATCTTCGTATAAAATTTCATTACAATGTTGCCAGTAGTTTCGGCAAAATCGTAAAAAAATGCGTAAATTTTTTTTTCAATGCCCTGTATCTTGAAAACTAATGGCGTTACAAAATTTTTTTACTAAGCAAACCCCAACACCCTGTAGAAGACATAAATGGATGGGTGACAAAACGGAAACAGTAGTGGAACGAACACATTAGTAGAATAGCATAGAATAGGATAGTACGAATATCACGAGATAAGTCAGCAAATGGACGAAGAAGTATTGCCAGACCAAGAAAAACATGGTGCGAGTTTTTAAACAATTCAGGAGGCTAATATTGAAGAAGAAACAGGCTTTAAAGCCTACATACGAGAAGGAAGAAGAAAAAGAAGAAGATAAGTAAACTTTAGTTTCATATTATGTTTTCCGATTAAATGACCAAGATCTATTATTGCTTATGTTGTCAGTATCCATGATCGTAAATAAAGCAGTCCAATTAATTCATTAATAGAAAGCCCCATATTTGGATATTCTACAAAATACATAAATATCTTTTAATGGTATACTTACATTTATTCTTTTTCCCATAGTCATTTCCAAATAAAATTCCCTATACCACAATTGAGATAAATCACAGCACTTTTGCAAATACTCTACAAATAAGAACAAAATGTAGTCGAAACTAAATATACATACATCATAAAAAGTCCTTACCACTAAAACTTAACAAGTAATTCCAATAAAAGGAAGTTTTGTGGAAAGAATCAATTTGCATTAGATATTGTCCATCGATGTCCTTACGTAATGTCCTCTTTCCGCCAGATTTGTCTGCAATCAATGACTCTAACATTGTTCTTACCATATATAATTGGGTAGAAGATGGTCCTAAAAAATTAATTAATACAATTTCCCATTACCTTACTTTTACCTTCCGAGATATTTTACAATTGGATTCTATCATTAACATATTGCAATCAGCTGAAGAAGGTTTGGTTTTCATAACAATAATGGCTTATAGAGGGATAAGATAATAAAATTTGCACTCGGCTGGATTTTTATTTGGAGTTGGACACTTCAATGTATATATTTAGAACAGCCATTAGACTAACTTTTAGTTCCCTAGGTGGCCTTATTGTTTATTGTCTTATTGTCTTTATGAAGGGGGTGGGGTGGAGGGTAGATTTTGGTTTCATCGATAGATTTTAAAAAAGTATTAAATACGTGTTACTTTGGTTTTTGATTTGGAAGTGTATTTCTCGAGATATCAAACCGTTAGTATATCTTCTTCTTATACCATTTTATTGTATTTTATCTTATATTTATTCTATTTTATTTTAATTACATTTGATCTCATCATCTTGTTCATAATATTTTCTCTTATTTTAGCTTTGTTTTATTTTACTCATAATTTTATATTTTTTCCATAAACACTATTATATTTATATTTAATTACTTTATTTTAATTATCCTTATATTCTGAAGTATTTATTTGATACGTCACTTTACGTCACCTGTTTGCTTTTATTCAATTTCCAAATACTTCCATCACCTGTTGTTTTTAAATATTATTGCTATGGTCAACGACCTCCGAGCTCAGGTGTTTTCCCAGGCTAGTTCCGATTTAGGCTAGCGGTAATATGTGTTTACGTTTTGACGACATCGAAGCGGCTTTTAAGTCAATAAGAAGTCTTTTAAGTCTTTAATAAGTCAATAAAACTGTCTTTCTAATAGTGCAATAAATGAATAAGAGATAGCGCCATAAGACGATATTCATGACTGACCGACTGTCGTCACCCTCCTCACAATATCGCGTCATCTTTAGTTGCGACCAACAGTGATCGGGAACGCACGTGTTTCTTTAGAGTTTCCACGTTATTGCTGAATCAGGTATTCAATTTTTATAGCTATATTTCGAGTTATTACATTTTTGTTGATTTGATCCTAATCATAACATTGTTGTTTTTCTAGTTATTACACTATTACTGATTTACACCAGCACTTTTTAAATTAATATTTTTACTAACGACACTATTATTGGTTCAGTTCATTATTATTGACATGCTACATTATTGTTGAATCATCACTTTAAATCATTTTTGTTGTTGTTTGTAAACCATTTATTAATCATTATATATTTGTTGATCACCATATAGCAATAACTCATTTAAAATGTGTAGCAGTGTTATTAAGAAAGCTTACTAGCTATTTTATTTTATAAATTTAGAGTTACTACACCCGTTGTGACAAGCTTGCACCACGTATCTATATACTCCATCTAATAATACTACTTGATTCATTTTTAGGTTCAATACCTGAGTTGTGGGCGATTACTTGTTGCTATGGCAACAAATGCTAAGGATTGCGAGCAGAAAATCTCTTCACCGTCGTTATTGTCACTGGAGAGTACAAATAATGAACCTGGTACCCAAATAGAAAACAGTGACGTTGCGAAAGTATAACCACCACCTATACCTTCACTATTTACGAGTACTTCAAGAAATTGACGTAAACAGTGAAACAGCGAATGATATTGGGAGTTGTACTCTGTAATATATAGAAAAAATTATAAGGGCTACTCCTGGTAGAGAACTGGACTTTATATTTTATTCCGATAATTGTTGCGGGCAGCAAAAAAATAAATACATCCTTACAGCATATGCGTACGCAGTACAGAAATTGAATGTCAAAATTATAAACCATAAATTTCTGATTCGCGGTCACTCTCAAAACGAAGGTGACAATGTGCATAGCGTCATAGAAAAGCAAGTAAAGCGTTTCGTAAAATATGGTCAAGTGTATGTCGCATAATAATATATGACATTAATTCAGTCACAATACGATGTGACTGCAATCCAAGAAGTCAGATGGACTGGGTCTGGGACAATCCAAATGGAGAAGTCAATAGTGCTATGGTCTGGACATGAAACACGTCATGAAAGAGGGTGTGGTTTTGTAATAAGCGAAAGGATTAAATCTGCTATACTAGATTTCAAAGCAATTAATGATAGAGTCTGTAGCATAAGAATAAAGGGCAAATGGTTCAATCTATCGATATTCTCAGTGTATGCACCAACCGAAGAAGCAGCAGAGGAAGAGAAGGAAGAATTCTATGACTCCCTAACCCGATTATACACGGAAGCCCCAAAACATGACATCAAAATAATATTAGGGGAATTAAACGCAAAAATAGGCAAAGAAGAACACATAAGGCCGCTAGCTGGAAATCAGAGTCTACATGACATTACCAATGACAATGGTTCAAGGCTGATTGAGTTTGCAGCAGGGTGCAACATGATTATCAAAAGCACCCAATTTGCCAGGAAAAACATATATAAGGTAACATGGAGATCAAATGATGGAAGAACGAGGAACCAAATTGATCACGTATTAATTGATGGGAGGCATCCCAGTAGTATAATAGACGTAAGAACTAGACGGGGACCAGATAGTGATACAGACCATTTCCTAGTAAAGGCCAAGCTCAGAACTAGAATCTCAACACAAACAACAGACAAACAGATGAAGATCGAAAGATGGAATGTGTCTAAATTGGAAGAAGAAGAGGGAAAGAGACAATACCAACTAGAATTGAGAAACAGATTCCAGGTGTTGGAAACGAAAGAAAATGAAAGAGAAAATATAGACCAGAAATGGCACTCCATTAAAACGATCATTACAGAAACAGCAGAGAAGTGTATAGGTCGGAAGAGAAAAGCAAAAAGAAAAAAAATGGTTTGATGAAGAATGCGAGGATACCTTAAAAGAAGCAAACAAAAGAAGAATCGACTACCTAGCAAACCCGACGGATGAAAAGCGTGAACAATACAATAGAGAGAGAGTCTTAGCCAGAAGAACAGTAAGGAGAAAAAATAGACAACATTTACAACAACAAATTGAAAAAGTAGAACGTGAACACAGAAGCAAGCAAAATAAAAAATTCTACAAAGAAGTAAGACAACATAAGAACGGTGCATATATAAGAACACCGAACTTTGTGAGAGATAAAAATGAGCAAATGATTACAGCTGAAAATAAAATAATCGAAAGATGGGCTGAATACTTTGAAAGTCTTCTAAATGTCCAGGTAGACGCGGATGGAAATAAAGCAAATTGTGAGTACCAAACGGCCGAGATAGAAGTACCCCCGCCAAGCCTGGAAGAAATTATCACGGCGATAGAAACCTAAAAAAATGACAAATCCCCGGGACTAGACAATATTGATGCAGAACTGATTAAAAAAGGAGGGCATGAACTTAGAACTAAAATACACCAATTAATGAAAGAAGCCTGGGAACAAGAAATAATGCCAAAAGAATGGAGTGGCTGTATTAACTCACCCCAAATGAGTTTTAAAACAAGAGGATTTGGTCCCCAGGTGGGTGCTCAATCCCACACCTCTAAGGAGGTCAGCCTCATGGAATCTGGGGGAGGCAAAAACTCATTAAAACACCGAAAGCAACATATCTATATTGCTAGTTTCAATGCCAGAACCCTCAAATCACCCGAACGAATGGAAGAACTGGAAGAAGAACTAACTAAGATCAAGTGGGATGTCCTCGGTCTAAGCGAAACGAGACTGCCAGGAGAACAATGTACAATACTCCATTCAGGACACATGTTCTACCAATTCCATAATGAGTACAATACACATGTCGGCGGTGTAGCACTATTGATCCACAAAAGACTCAAACATCTGGTCACAAAATCTGCTGCAATCTCGGAGAGGGTCATTTACATCGTTCTTAAACTATCAGAAAGGTACAGCATCCAAATAATTCAAGTATACGCTCCCACTAGTCAATCCACAGATGAAGAAATAGAGAAATTCTATGAAGATATTTCTAAAGCAATGACAGAAAGAGCTCATTTTAAAATAATCATGGGAGACTTTAACGCCAAAGTAGGGAAGCACAACACCGGCAACATACCAAATAGAGGAATATATGGGCTAGGAACTACAAATGAAAGAGGAGAACGGTTACTAACATACACACAGGAACAAAATCTATTTTGTATGAATACATTTTTTAGTAAACCAGATAATAGACGGTGGACCTGGATAAGCCCAGACGGGAAAACCAAAAACGAAATCGATTACATATTAGTCAACCAGAAACAGATAATAAAAGATGTAGCGGTGCTCAACAGATTCAGTCTGGGAAGTGATCATAGATTAGTAAGAGCAAAAATAATAATCGATAACAAATTAGAAAGAAACAAACTAATCTTGCAAAAACGAACCCTAACTACTAAAGAGCTTGGGCAAAACAGTACCAACTACCAGAAATATCTTGAGTCTAGTCTAGAGCCAATGGAACAGCTAAAAGAAAAAGACATAAATAATTTGGAAGAAACGATAAGAACGAGTATAATCTCTGCGATCAAAAAAACCCATACGATGCCGAAACCGAAAGATAATAAATTGAAGACAGAAACACAACAGATGATTAGGGACAGAAGCCGCATGGATCGAAATTCACCAGAATATAAGGAACTTAATAAGGCAATAAGAACAAGAATTAGACAAGACATCAGGGACAACAACACCGAAAAAATCGAAAACATTATAGAGAAAAACAAGAATATGAAAGTGTTAAAAACGCTAAATAGCAAAGGCCGACAACAAATACACCAAATAAAGGATAAAAATGGAATCATTAGAAACGACAAAAATCAGATAAGAAACATTGTCGAAGATTATTATACAGAATTATACTCGTCCAGCGTAGCAAAACCTGAAACCCATGATATGGAACGAAGAATACTAAATGTAGGATCTGAAACACTACCAGAAATTACTACCGAGGAAGTTGTAAATGCCTTAAAGCAAATGAAAAATGGAAAATCTCCTGGAGACGACGGAATAACAAAAGAGATGATTACAGCTGGAGGTCAAACTACTATGGAGGCAGTTAAAATCTTACTGAACAAGTGCCTATTCGGGGGTGCTATTCCAACCTCTTGGCAAAACGCGCAGGTACTTTTACTACACAAGAAAGGAGACAAACACAAACTCGAAAATTACAGACCAATAAGCCTGTTACCACATCCATACAAACTGCTTACCAAAATAATTACCAACAGACTATCAAACAAATTTGATAGTTACCAGCCTGTTGAACAAGCGGGTTTCCGCAAAGGTTATAGTACAATAGAACACCTACAGACAATAAGGACACTTATTGAAAAATGTAACGAATACAATGAACCTCTTCATTTGGCATTTGTGGATTACAATAAGGCATTCGATTCCATAGAATTCTGGGCGGTATTAGACGGAATGAATAACGCAAGGATAGATTCCAGATATAGAATGCTCCTAAAATACATATACGACAATGCAACTATGCAAATAAATGTAGCAGAAGGCCTAACAACAAACAAAATAAGATCAGAAAGAGGTGTTCGACAGGGAGACACCATATCTCCAAAATTATTTACTCTTGCATTAGAAGATGTGTTCAAGAAGTTAAATTGGGAACAACTCGGAATTAAAATTGATGGCAGGTTTTTAAGCCATCTAAGATTTGCCGATGACATAGTACTCATAAGCAACAATACAGAGGAACTAATCTACATGCTGAAGGAGCTTAAACAAGAATCTGAAAAAATCGGTTTAAAAATGAATTTAAATAAAACAAAAGTAATGACAAATCAAAATATCACAATCGACTTAGATGGAAGTGAGATCGAAAGTGTCGAAGAGTATATATACCTAGGTCACACCATCAAACTAGGCAAACAGAATCAAACAGCAGAGATAACTAGAAGAATCCGAATGACTTGGGCAGCAGTAGGCAGACTCAGTGATGTGTTGAAGAACAAAAAGATACCAATAAATCTAAAGAAAAGGGTATTCAACAGTTGTATTCTACCGGTCATGACTTATGGAATGGAGACCATGACACTTACAGAGTTGTCAGCCAACAGATTAAGAACAACACAGAGGGCCATCGAACGAGCTATGTTGGGAGTATCACTGAGAGAACATATACGAAACGAGGACATACGAAGCAGGACGAAGGTGGAAGATGTAATTGGAAGGATTGCACAAATGAAATGGAACTGGGTAGGGCACGTGGCACGGCAAAACAACGACAGATGGACGAAAAACATTGTACATTGGAGACCACGCGAACACAGTCGGAGTAGAGGAAGACCACAAAAACGATGGATAGACGACATCAAAGCAAAAATGGGGAGAAACTGGCACCAAATAGCACAAAACAGGGAAGAGTGGAGAACTCATGGGGAGGCCTTTGTCCAGGAGTGGATGCAAACAGGCTGAAGAAGAAGAAGAAGACATAAAAAAGGCAGAAAGGATACATGTGGCAACTACAGGGGAATCTCACTAATCGGTACTACATATAAGATATTAGCTTCAGTTGTACTAAAACGATTACTGCCATATACAGAGGAAATTATTGGCGATTACCAATGCGGCTTTAGGCCTGGAAGATCAACAATCGACCAAATATTTATTATCAGACAAATGCTAGAAAAGTATTGGGAATATAATAAAGAAGTACACCAGATCTTCATAGATTTCAAACAAGCATATGATTCCATAGATCGCTTAAAACTGTGGAGTGCAATGATGGAGTTAGGCGTACCAAAGAAGCTGACCATGATTGCGCGAATGTGTGACAACAATTCTTTTGCACAAATTAGAATAGGAGGCAAAACTTCAAAGGCTTTCGGCATAAGCACCGGGCTCAGACAGGGAGACCCGCTGTCCCCATTACTATTTTAAACTAGCATTGGAATGCGCAATGCGAAAAATCTATACCAGAGTCAAACCAGACATAACTGCCAGAGGAGCAAAGATTATTCTCGCATTTGCAGATGATGTAGATACAGTAGCACAGACAACACTGGAAGTTAAGGATATAGTATCGAACTTTGAAGAAGCAACACTAAGCGTAGGCCTGAAAATAAACGAAGAAAAAACTAAATACATTGTCGTATCAAAAAAGGAACGACAGCGAATAAGACAAAACATTACCATAAACGATCATAATTTTGAGGTGGTCAAAGAATTCAAATACCTAGTAGCAACAATTACCAGTGAAAACACAGGAGAACGGGAGGTTGAAATACGAATACTGGCGGGAATAAATCATTCTTTGCCATTCAACATCTAATGAGGTCAAAGCTTCTCTCAAGGCGTGCCAAAATCCAAATGTACAAAACCATAATACGACCAGCAGTGATATATGGAAGTGAAACATGGACTTTGAGAAAGAAAGAAATCAATAAGCTATTAGTATGGGAACGCAAAATCCTGCGAATTATATATGGTCCTTGCAGGGACAGCGTGACAAATGAATGGAGGAGCAGATACAACAATGAAATAGAGACTCTCTTCGGGAAAAGAAACATCGTAAGATACATAAAAGCCAATAGATTAAGATGGGCAGGCCACGTGGTACGGAGTGATGACGACAGAATGATTAGCAATGTGTTTTGGGAAAGACCAGATGGTCGACAGGAAGGCCTAGAAAAAGGTGGAAAGACGCAGTCAGGGAAGACCTGGAGAAGATGGAAGTAAGGCCATGGGAAATAATAGCACAGGATCGGAATCAATGGAAGGCAATAGTAAACGCGGCAAAAACTCACGAAGAGTTGTAAAAGACAATGATGATGATGATTAATTCAGACAGCTAAAAAGACAGGCAAACCGTATAGCGTGACTGAAATGACTAATGAAAAAGACAAAATAAAATGGCATGACATTAAGGTGTTTCGTGTTGAAAACGAACATCCTTTTACTTTCTTTTATAAGAACTCTTACGAAGATGAAGATTACCAAAAAGTTTTCGTACCTAGCTTACGACGAATTGAAAACCAGACTTCGTTATTTGCTAATAGTTTGACACGAGAGTACACAAGCAAGATACCGTTAACTCAAAATAAGAAAAGAGACTTAAAGGAATTACTTGACAAAAATGTAATACCCAGGAGTTATCGTGAACCTTACTATAAGGATTTGACCGATTAAAAATTAAAATTGTAATCAGTAATAATTCAAATTCTCGGTAATTGTTAACGTGTAATACAATCTCTTTAGATCCAATGTTAACAAATACCAAGAATCAGTTCCCAAAATTGTTTAAAAACTATCGTAAACCGCAGAAAAAAATAGTAAATCAAATTGTAGTAACACAAAATATTTCATAAATAATGTCATAACTAAAAATAATATTCCATTTCGAAAATTTTGCTTAGAGAAATACAGTGTTTAATCAAAATTTTTAAATAACTTAACTTTAATATTAATTAGAACCATATTATACATTTTTTTACCTGCAATAGGAAATGATTAATGAGTTTTTCGTTGATTCTGAAAAATCATCTTTTTTGAGTTACGACACTATTGTATTATTAGTGCGATATGTAAATAAATATAAATAAAATTCTGGTTTTTAGTATTAATGAAATAATAAAAAATAAATGAATTAGACATTAATAAAGTCGTTATTACATTGCATTTTTAGTCGTGTTCTGCTATTCGTTTACTTCATTTATAAGAGTAATATCATTAGGATATAGTTATTGTCTATTATGAATATATATTTAACCGATATTTAATCTGTATTTATGAATCAGTTACTTATGTAGTTAAACGTACAAAAAACTCCCTCTCGGGACATTTGAAACTTCAAAAATTGATCCTTTTTTCATTTACAAAAATTTCATTATTTTTTTTTATCAAATTGTGGTAAACTATCATAGAGAAAACCAAAACACACAAAAGTCATCAAGGTTTATTAAAATCGACTGACTAGATCCGGAAATTACCTGTCTGCCAGTTTTAAAAACATAATTTTTCTCAAAACATTTAATCAACGGATCTAGTCGGTCGATTTTAATAAATCTTTATACATTTTGTTTGTTTTTTTTTTCTCTATAATATAATGAAACATACGAAAAACATTTGCGTCACGTCGTGAATTAGCAGCACCTGGACTTAAAATAAGCAAGGATCGTATCACTGCGTTAGATTGTGTTAATGCAACTGGCAGTCACTGATTGCTCATGCTTGTCATTGGTAAAAGCAAGAGGCCACGTTGTTTTAAACACATTAATATGTCTGTGATGCATATGGCTTACACTTTGCAAAAGAGTGCTTGGATGGATAGTGCAATTATCATGGAATGGTTTATAGAAACTTTCTTCAGTAGTTTCTTCATAACGCCCTAATTCATCGGTGTTGGAATGAAAAATAGCGGTCCTTAAATACTGCGTGATCTAGCCGCTCGTGAACGGGTAGACTTGCTTCGGCAGATGAGAGCTGAAGATTGTTTAAGCATTAGTAATTAAAAAAAATCTTACAATGTTCGTCAATATTTTACATAGAACATCTTTTTCTGCAAAGACTGCACTTTTTTGTTTAATTCCTATTCGTCATTAAAGATATAAATACATATGTAGGTATGTAAATACAGCTTTCGTTCTCACCGGTGGATAAATATGTACGGCTAAATCAATACAGTTCGATTATACGAAAAAACCGATTGTCCGAACACCTATATTCCCCAATTAGTTCGGATAATCGAAGCTCTACTGTAATTACAAAAGTGAAATTCTACATAAAAAATGTTTTATATAATTTAAAATAAATAACTCACCCACATTTCTTCTCGGAACTTTTATCTGAAAACCAGTCTCTGGGTCCTTTCTACCTTTTAATAAATGGTCATTGATTGGATCGAAATGCTTAGACCAATCTGCACAAGTTTCTCGAACAGACATGATGATGCTAAAAGATTATAAATATTAAAGAAATTATACCTAAAAAAAGAGTCTTTTTTAAACCACCAGAGATGCCTAAGAGTAAAGAGGCGGCAAATGTCTGTAATTAAACATGAACACTGCCAAATGAAGAGAAACGATTCTTTCTGACAATTATCACGATCAAATACTGGCACACCTATGAAGAAAATCGTAATTTACGTACTAGAAACACATAGGAACACATCAGCACATAGCTCCCAGATATGATAATATTTCCCACACTCAAAACACGGAAACACAATGCATGCTAAAACAAACATCATCACAACCTCAGTCAGCACTGCAAATCATAATGGCATAGAAATATTAACAGCGGAACTAGCTCCGTGGCTCTCGGGTAAAAGGGCATATCTATGCAAAATGAAATTGTTCAGGGGACGAAATTGAAAGTTCAATATTTTTCTAAAATCAAATGTGTTACTTTAGCCATTTTTTGGTATATTATATTGAAAGAGAATCTAATAAACTAACTTTTGCTGCATATAAACAATTCATACCTTATTCTAATTTGAAGGTATTAGTAGTTGTCTTCCTCAGGGTACTCAGATATATCCTTTTACTCAAATGTAAATGTTATTATGTATAACATATACAATAGTTTGTACTACCTTAATGCTGAAAGGCTGATATTAATAAAACGGCTTATTTACTATTAATGGTTTCTATTTTAATCAAAAATGGAAAAGAAGGTGAATATTGAAATTAAATTATTGTGCGCTGCAGAAAAAGGTCATTTATCACTTTTTTCTCCATTCAGTAAGACGTCAGCATGTCAATGAGGTCCTTCTTCTTATTCGCTGAGATTTAGTGGTGGTTGATCCAAGTATTTTTGTGGATCAGGTCAAACTGATACGCGTAAACAAAAATACCTGTTCCAAATACCTGTTAAAAAATACTGGTTTGGAAATCAGTTTGTTATTTAAATTACTATTAAACTGGGAATAAGCCACAATTAAAGATAAAAATACGTTTATTGACGTTTCAATTTCCACTTCGGAAATCGTTCTCAAAATACAAACAGTAAATTAAACAAATTTTGTTTTTTGTTACATAGTGAAAAATTCTTCTAATAATTTAATTTTATCTGACTCATTTATATTGACAATTCAGACATACATTATGCATTTTAAAGTAGACGACTTTAAAATGATATTGCTAATATTGTTGAGTTGCGCTCCTGGGACGACTTTACTTATAAGATAGTTCATTCGATTACATGAAATCAACTTTAACTTGAGAATATCTGTCAGAAAAAAATCATAGCATGTAATTCGTCTTTAAAAAGACAAACACATAACATGATGACAGTAAAATTCTCCTGTTAGTGATTCCATAGTAAATTATGAGGGAAAACCAGGAAAAAACCTCATAATACTATCCCGACATTGTAAGTATTTGTTCGTGAATTTAGTTTACCTTCAACAAACATCAAAATTCTGATTTTATATGTTACGTTATTTAAAAAACATAAATGATGTATCCTCTTTATGTTACTGACTTACTAATACTGATATTTTCTTATTATTAACTTCCTCTTTCAATATTGGTAACCAGATCCTACTACATTCTGCCGAGGAATTTGCGACACAATTGGCCTCATTTAGCATAATTAGAGCCGCTTCTTTGATTTTTCTTTTTTTACCATCTGTTTCTTTTAGGACTACATTTGAATTATTCCATTGAACCCTATGTTCATTATCCCATGCGTGTTTACAGATTTGAGATCTATCAAATTCTTTATTTTTAATATAAGATTGATGTTCACTTATTCTAACATTTAATGGCCTTGATGATTCACCTAAATAAAACTGATCGCATTCACAAGGTATTCTATAAATGCAATTCTTTGTCCTTTCTTGTTCATTGTTAGGTTTGGTTTTGGACAAAATAGATCTCAACGTGTTTGTTGTCTTGAATGTTGTTGAAATGTTGAATGTATTTCCTATCCTTTTAAGTTTTTCTGATAGTCCTTTTATGTACGGTATTGTTATTTTCCTCATATTATTCCTTGTGTATGCTGTAGGATCTCGTTCTAAGTTGTTCTGTTCTATTCGATCGATTGTTGAAAATTCCTTATTTATAAACGATAAAGGATAATCATTTTTTAATAAAACAGATGTTAACAAATGTTTCTCCTCCAAGAACGAATTTTCATTAGAACAAGTAATTTTGGCTCTATCGTATAAGGATTTAATTATTCCCTTTTTTACATTAATATTGTGATTTGATTTGAAATTTAAATATCTATTGGTGTGTGTTAGAACGAGATCCTACAGCATACACAAGGAATAATATGAGGAAAATAACAATACCGTACATAAAAGGACTATCAGAAAAACTTAAAAGGATAGGAAATAAATTCAACATTTCAACAACATTCAAGACAACAAACACGTTGAGATCTATTTTGTCCAAAACCAAACCTAACAATGAACAAGAAAGGACAAAGAATTCCATTTATAGAATACCTTGTGAATGCGATCAGTTTTATTTAGGTGAATCATCAAGGCCATTAAATGTTAGAATAAGTGAACATCAATCTTATATTAAAAATAAAGAATGATAGATCTCAAATCTGAAAACACGCATGGGATAATGAACATAGGGTTCAATGGAATAATTCAAATGTAGTCCTAAAAGAAACGGATGGTAAAAAAAGAAAAATCAAAGAAGCGGCTCTAATTATGCTAAATGAGGCCAATTGTGTCGCAAATTCCTCGGCAGAATGTAGTAGGATCTGGTTACCAATATTGAATTGTCTACTTTAAAATGCATAATGTATGTCTGAATTGTCAATATAAATGAGTCAGATAAAATTAAATTATTAGAAGAATTTTTCACTATGTAACAAAAAACAAAATTTGTTTAATTTACTGTTTGTATTTTGAGAACGATTTCCGAAGTGGAAATTGAAACGTCAATAAACGTATTTTTATCTTTAATTGTGGCTTATTCCCAGTTTAATAGTAATTAATTTACAATGCCACAAGAAAATAGCTTCAGAACAACAGTTTGTTATCATTCGTTTAATAGACATCTAAGCATAACGATAACATTGTTTGTATTTTATTAGTTTTCTGTATAGTTATTAAAATGGCTGTTTAACTTCAAATACTTAAATTACTGTTATTCAGAGATTGCATAAAAAAGTTCATAAAAAATGGCGATAGTCTTGCCTACTTCACGCCAATTGCCATCTGTTGATATTTCTCTAAAGCTTTGTAAACGTTAAGAAATGCACGGGAAAAATTAAGGACAAATGCAATGAAACAATTAAATTGTTATTTATTTTTAATGTATATTTGTTGAATAGTCCACTGATCGACAAGCTTATACAATTTCCTGATGAATATGAATAACAACAAATGAAAACGCATAACATGATTATAATAAATTTTAAGAGTACTACATGAACAAGTAAAAAATAAATTCCTGATGTACAGGAATACCCAAGGTATTCCTGTACTTGGTAAGTGTATTTTCATGGGAAGACCAGATTTATGAACAGATGGATGGAGTAGCAATGGGAAGCCCACTAAGCCCGGTCGTAGCCAACCTTTTCATGGATCATTTAGAGAAGAAGGTAATGGATTCAGCATACAAGCCAAGGGTATGGTTTAGATACGTTGATGACACCTTTGTGATTTGGGGTCACGGAGTAGAAAAACTTAACGATTTCCTGGCTTATATAAATACACTACATCCAAATATTCAATTTACGATGGAAACAGAAAAAGATCAACAACTAGCATTCCTAGATGTGTTAGTAAATCGAAAGGAAAGTCACATCATCAAAACTTTGGCGGAGGGCGAAGAGAATTTGTGAACCACAACATCTCCAAAGTGAACTTATTTATATTGAAAAAGCGCTCACCTCTAATGGTTATACCAGGAGAGAAATATACAAGGCGATGAACAACGTATCTAGAAGAAGGGACGAAGAAACAGAATGTAAAGGCAAAGCGTTCTTGCCCTATATATCGGGGGTAACGGACAGAATTGGGCGAATACTTAAGAAAGCCAACGTAAAGACCATCTTCAGGCATACAAAGAAAATCAAGGATTGTTTAAGATCGGTAAAAGACAAACGCGACCCATTAGCAACGGCCGGAGTATACCGAATACCATGCACATGTGAAATGGTATATGTGGGAACTACAAAAAGACACACAAACACCAGGATAAATGAACATAAAAGCCATTGTCGTTTAGGACATATCGACAAATCTGCCGTTGCCGAACACGCTTTGGGAAGCGGAGAACATCGGATACTCTTTGAAGAAACACAGGTGCTGGACAAAACTTCACAGTACTACCCACGGTTGTATCGGGAAGCGGTGGAAATATACAAGCACCCAAACAATTTCAATCGGATAGAAGAATGACTGAAAATCAACAAGACATGGATACCAATATTAAAATCCACAAACGCCCTTCCCGCCAAACACGAAGATAGAAAAGCTACTATAAACAACGACACGCCCCCTCAAGCCGAAACCAGTGGAGGGGACGCGAGTGGGAAATATAAATATTGCATCCGTAGTACAACGCGGCGGCGTCAGTTTCTGCTTACAAGCGAAATATTAACATCTCCAGAAGATGCCAACCCCTAGTGTTGGCGAAACGTCGAGAACTAATCTCAGAAGACAACAGCCCGAACAAACAGTTTAATAAGTTAGACGATGGCCTGAAAGCCTAACGCAGTTTATCTTATTAGGTTAATTGGCATATTCTAAGCAAAACATGTTCTTAGTAACTTTAGTTATACTTGAATTATAAAGGTCTTTAGCAATCATCAAATTAAGCCTAAAACTCCATTTTAGAAGATTCCGAAAAAGATAAAATTAAGACCATAACAAACAAAAACATTTTCGATGGTAAATTTTTTATATAATAACTTCACCCACCTCCTAATTAAATCTTTCTTGTTCTTTATTGCTTTTCTTAGAGGTTCTCTTAATGACAACTGAACAAAGTCTTGTAACTCTGCATAAATGTTTCTTCTTATTGCATCAGTAAATACAGTTTCCATTCTAGCCATTAACACTTGTAGGCCTTTAATCATTGCTATCACTTCAATTAAGGCAAATTTCTCATCATCCGTGTAATTATACCTAGTCGCCTAAAACAAAAAAAAAGTAAGCATTTTTGTTGGTGGCACCTCAGAATTTTTTACATATGTTTTGTAAAAACTACTATATAAATTGTAAAATAAACTCTTTATAGAATGTTATTAACATTTTAATTTTAAAATCGGAAGTCATTGTCAAAATACATGTTTTAAAATCAACAAACTATTTAAATCTCTTATAATTGAACTAAACTAATTATGTACTATCGTGACAAATACTAATACAATAAACTGTATACAATTTGGAAACGTAATCAAGCATTATATCCTATAAGCATCGATATAATATACTAAGGATGGAGATTCAAATTTCCCACTAAAATAATGGTTTGGGGAACAATATCTCAGCGTGGTGCTACACCTCTCTGTATAGTTAATGGTACTGTTGATAGTGCGAAATATTGTGACATCCTAAATGGTTTTCTTCTTGAAACGGCTCATGTTTTATATCCTAAGGGGTGGCATTTTGAGCAAGATAAAGCAAGATGCCATACTTCTGCTTATACTCAAGCTTGGATGCAAGAACACGAATTGTGGCCAACAGCATTTCCAGATCTTAGCCACATGAAAACATATGGAGACTGATGGAGATTGAATTGGAACGAGCAGAGCCACGAGATAAAGACGGTTTGATTCGGTCAGTTTTACAGGCCTGGAACACCATTACTGAAAATTATGGCCTTGACCTAGTTTCGGGTGTGCCTGGACGTTTAGTTAAGTGTTTAGATTTATATGGAGGTTGTATAAGTAAATGAGATGAATTATTTGTATTATATTTATTATATTTCAAGTGATAGAAATAAATATCGTATAATTATAATTCTGCTTTCTTTTTTCCGGATACTTTCTAGACGGACTAAGATAGAAAAAAACAAACACGGCAAGGAGCACTACACAGTATCTTCCGTTATTAATGAATTTAGTTACATAAGAGATATCAGATGTCACTATGGATGAAAATAGATTTACTATAAGACAAATTTTTATTTATTGACTTAAAGAAGTCCACATTTATTTTTTGAATGCATTTTTTCTTAAAAAATGCAGTTTTCTTTTGTATCCTTTTTACAAAGAATATATTAAATAGTTTATTATGTATGTAAGGAATTAACCCTCCGTTACTCGCGCGGGGTGTTGTGAACACCCTATGCGTATATAACTGTTAATATTTTCTACGCAATAATATCATCGTCGCCGTGCGCCTGTGTAGCTGCATATTTTCGTCGTCTTTACTACCTGGAAGAATCTGATCAGTGTACTGTTAGTCGTTGTACCGTAAGCAAGTGCTTGGGGTGCTGCAAACACCCCGCGAGTAGTTAAGTTACATTTTGTTTATCGATATTTATTTTTTGCCGGTAAGTATATTTATTCTTTTTACACATATATGGTAGTCTGAACATGTACTTTGTCTATATAATATTTCCAATATTATTTTTAGGAAAAATGGGCGAATATGAGGCCGAACAAGCGCGATTACTCAAACTTTTTGATGAATGTACGAGCGATGATGAAATACCATCAGAAGAAGAATATCCTTCAGATGAAGAATTGACCCAATATTGACGAATATGATAGTGATTCTGAACCAGATAGTGAGCATGAAGTTATGAATGAATCTTCTAGTGACGAGGACTTGACAAGTGATGACGAACAAGAAGACGGAAATCGTTTTTATCTTGGAAAAGACAAAATCACTAAATGGTCAAAGGAAAAGAGTCGTGAGCAGGTGAGAACTAGAAGTCATAATCTAATTTCCCATCGACCAGGAACAATAAATATTGCCAGAAACTGTAAGTTTGTTATTGAATGTTTTAATTTGTTTATAACTGAAGACATAATCAAAGAAGTTACAGAAAGTACCAACATATTTATTAGTAAACTTTCGGCCAATTACAAATGTAAGAGGGACTGCAAAGAAACCAATGGGACAGAAATTCGAGCTTTAGTTGGATTACTAATATTATCTGGCATTTGTAAATCCAGCCATAGGAATATCAAAGATTTGTGGGATATTTTAAGGCTTGGAATTCAAACGTTTTACAAAACTATGAGTTACAACCGTTTTTACTTTCTCATAAAATGTCTAAGGTTTGACAATATAAATACCCGCGAAGAAAGAATATTGCTGGACAAGTTTGCTCCCATTAGAAGTATTTGTAATCAGTTCAATAATAATTGCCTCGCAAATTATTCGCTTAGCGAATTCGCCACCATTGATGAACAACTTTTAAATTTTAGGGGTAGATGCTCTTTTCGAAAGTAGCCAGATGGTCCTTTTCAAGTTAGCTATAAGCCCATTGATATTGTGCAGCGTTTGTGTCGTATACTCTTCGGTTCAGGAAGAAACATCACAACGGACAACTGGTATACCAGCATACCATTAGCAGAAACATTACTGTCTCATAAATTATCGTTAGTGGGTACAATCAGAAAAACAAAAAAGAGATACCACCATGCTTTGTCACTAATAAGGTTCCTGGGCAATCTCTATTCGGATTCCATCAAAAAATAGCAATGACTCTCGTTTCATATTGCCCAAAGCAAAATAAAAATGTAATTTTATTATCAACTATGCACATAAATGACAATACTGTAGTTGAAGTTTCTCCAAATGTGAATAAGCCTGACATAATATTATTTTATAATAAAACCAAGAGTGGGGTTTATAGTGTAGACCAAAAATGCAAGACATATATTGTGTCAAGAACTTGTAGTCGTTGGCCCTTGAGGATATTTTATCATTTGTTAAATACAGCTGCAATTAATTCCTACATCGTTTATTTCTCTGATAATCCTACTAAAAAAATTCCCAGATCGAAGTTTCTAGAAGAGATTGGATTTACTCTGGTACAACCACAGATGGAAGCTAGGTCACAAATACAGTCTATTCCAAACTCTTTGAAAAGAGTCCTAGGTAATGCAGGAACAAACAATGACAATGTGCCTATAAAAAAGGCAAGATGCACTATATGTCCACGAACAAAAGACATTAAATGTAAGAGTGGTAATAAAAATATGTGCCTAAGCCATATGAACACAATATGTGATGCATGCTACCGAGGCCAGTAAATTTATTCTAAGTTTGTTTATTGTTCTTTATATATAATAAAAAATTTTTGCTTTCACCTTTTTTACTTTATTTATTTATTTTTTTTTATTTTTGCTCAGTTGTGTGCAATTTTATTCCTAAAATCTATGTTTATAAAATTCAGCGACTACACATGTAGACTGCAATATTTGCTGAAATAAATAGTTTTATTTTGTGACAAACTTTTAACATTATATACCTGAAATATAAAAAAAGTGTGGATTTTATTACTTTAAACAAAAAGTAAGATAAAATAATGGGGTGCTGCAGACACCCCGCGAGTTGACACGTTCCTGAAATAGGCGCAAGTAACGGAGGGTTAAGGTAAACAAAATATAAAAATATGATTTAAATGTGATTTACCAAACATTTTTCCAATGAGGCGTAGGTCTCTTATTGCCCAGACTTCTTAAATTAACTTTAATATTTAAAAAACTTAAAAATTAAAACTTATTGTCAAAAAAATTTATTGTCATTAAAAAACTTATAAATACTAAACTAACCCTCTCATATTCTTCTGCATCTTTAGGGCATTCCTTATTCTGGTGATGGTCGGTTGGATGTAATAACTTCCAAGAATACAACTCTGTAACTACACTCGACCATTCTGATAAAAGCTGTAATCCTCTGAGTGCCAAATCTGCCGTTTCCTTATTTTCAGTATCACTGCCACATTCTTTGTAGGTTGTTGTGACTTCATTGCTGTATCTAGATAATTCACTTATGTATTTAACGTGATCCTCTCTGATCTGTGGAAGATGAACCATTAGATCGGCTTGAGGTGAAGGTGTTGTACTATTAGATAAGGGCCATTTATTTGCATCAAAATGTTTGCTTCTCTTTATATAATTGAAAGGTGCAATTTGCATGTCTCCAAACAACGGAACTACTTCTAAATTCTAAAAAATATATTTGATACATTAAAGAATATTCATGATAAAAATATTTAAACATGTGTAATCTTAATTATGGATCGGTTTTTTAACTAATTTAGGAGGGGGAAATGATTTGTCAACTTGCAATATTAAAAGCTAAGTCTATATTTGTGAATAAACAACGATAACTTAGGCTGTTATTTTATCTTTATATAAGCGTTGGTAAAAGTGTACCAAAGTTTATGGTCTGTATGTACCTTACGTGAGATTGAGTGAGAAACACCTTTTAAAAAGAGAGAGGTATATTAGGTCCGCCCTTTATATCGCCGAAATAGCATTAGTGGAACTAAGAAAAGAGGAGAAGTTCAACGTTGCTAAAATTATTGGTTTTATTTGACCTGTTGTCTTTTTAGCATTTTAACAACGTTCTAAGATAATCAAATTTGGGCGAATTGATTTAAATGGCAGCTTACTGTTTTTTATTTTAAATATGCCACAATTTTCCTTTACAATAAGTTTAATTTAACATTTTGATTTCCACTTCGGAAATCGTTTTATGTAAATAAAATTTATTAATGTTTCTTTTATTTTAAGTACGATTTCCGAATTAGAAACCTAAACATAAAAATAAGCTTACTTTAAAGTCATATTGTGCCTTATTCGCAATAAAAATAATAAAATGCAATATGACACCACAATACAAAACCTTCTTACATAATTATTTGGCAACGTCGAGCTTTTAAAGTAAGGACTCCGAACTGTGTTCGTAGTTCTCTGACTGTAGTAACGAGAAAAACAGTAGAGGTGAGTCTTTGACGTTTTTATCGTTACTGAAACTGAACTGCTTTTCGTAAACAAGTAACAAGTTGAAAAACTAATTAAAATATTTAATCGAGTACATAAACAAACATGCTTTCTTGAATAAAAAAAAAATATACTGAAATACTTTCAACGGCTTTTCAAATTTGCTGTAGTTGATTTATAACTAGTTTTTTTTGCAAAATTTGCATACAGCTTTCTCACTGTTAATGTCTTTCTCAAAGTGATGCAATAAAATACTAATATCTTTACTTAATAAAGTAAATATTTAGTACTCACAGAATAAATTTTTTAACTAAGAAAAAGACTTCCTAATTGAATATTTAAAATAAATAAATCCTTTAACGAACTATCAATAAAGATTTCAACTTCAGACACCATCAACTAGTTGGCATCCCAGTGAGAAAACGTAGATTCTTTAACGACAAATTAAACGGTTAAATAAAACAGTTCGGTGATTCAACGATCATATCTACAGAACAGAACTAGTTCTGTGATATGTCATGCATAATCACGGTAGTAAGTTGTTGTTCCTCCAAAAAGAAATACATAGCTGTCGACAGGCCGTCTCGTCTCGACGAATGGCGATGTTGCCAAAATTATATTATTCAAAATTGGGTTACAATTTCGCCAACAAAAAATGCGAATCTGTAAATTTTTCTTGGATTTTAGAAATTTAATCAATGTGCCAATTAATGTTTCATTTTGAATATCATCATTAAGTTTTGAATGGAAATATAATCGAACCACTTATCGCCAATTTTTAGAATCAATTCAATGTTTTAATTCAAATATATGTAATAAGGCAACCCTGTCGCGTATAAGCTAAGCTGGTCGGAAATTCGTGAGACGTTCATTAATAGGCGTGTCTAAAGTGGAGGGGAGACCAAGGGGAAATGTTTTCTTTGTCTATTCGCTGAAAATATTATTTTATATCTATGTTTGATATCCTGTTAAATTTTATCATACCGACCATAAACTTTTACCTACACTGTATATAGACTCCTACTGGACCAGAATAAAGGAAGACATTGAAGCAGTAGCAAAAGATGAAATAGGAACAGAAATTTGTGCCCGTAAAAATCATTGGTTTGACGATGAATGCAAGAATGCAACAAAAAAAATGAAGCCTGCAGAAAGATGCTTACTCGACGAACTAGAACAATTGTAGAGCATTACCCAGACAAAGAGAAGAGAAGAAAAGAGGATACACAAAAGAAAAAAACAAAACCACCTAAATACGGAAATTAAAAATATAGAAAACCTTAACAGAGAGAAAGAATTCAGAGCATTCTATAAGAAAGTTAACATCGACAGAAAAGAATTCAAGGCAACCATAAGACAATGCAGAAGTCAGAATGGCGACCTATTAACAACAAGGAAAGATGTATTGAATAGATGGGTGGAACACTTTAACCAGGCACTTAATATGGAGGAAGAAGAAGAAAACGTGGAAGACGAAAGAAATGAGGTAAGGAGAGCAAACGAGAGGGAAGAGGAACCACCAAGGATTCTTGAAGTTAATGTTGCAGTTAAAAAACTAGCCAGAAACAAATCACCTGGAATAGGTCTCCCAGCTAAACTATATAAAGAAGGTGGTCATGATACCATTATGGCATTACAGCAGCTTATAAATGAAAAATGGACCAATAAATCCCTTCCCAATGATTGGAATTTTGGAATACTTTGCACCATATACAAAAAAGGAGATACAGGGTGATTGATTAGTGTGAGGAAGCTCAGTAGATCTGTTATAGTAAAAATTACTAAAAAAAGTTATTAATAAAAATTGTAGGCAGCTTTAAACTCCACATTTTAAAATTAGTTACAATCTTACAGGGTGTTCCATAAGATGGTGGCAGACCAAACTTATGTTTTTTAAATGGAACACCCTGTATTTTATTTTAAATTTAAAATCGGCTTCACTTCCACATCACAACAATGTAAAGTTTTATTATGTTATACCGGGTATCTAAAAAATTATAACCAATATTACCTGAAAATCGTATCAAGTTTAACTCCCTGTGCCATTAAAAAGGAGTATAGGAACATTGATCTATTGCAACCATAGTTTTTAAATAATTGTTAAAAATTATAAAACTATCGTTAATCAATACAGGTAAGTCAAAATGCAAATACATTATTTTATTGGTAATTTTAAATAGAACACCCTGTATTTTATATCACTATCAAAAAGTAATAATATCGTACTTCAAATTTTATAAAGTACTCCCTATACCTAAAGTTATCAGTTTTCTAGATATTATTGTTTTTCCATCAAAGTATTAATTTGGTAGATATTTTAACGTTTACCAACTCACAATATAATTATTGTGAGTTGGTTATGATTGATTTGTCAAAAACTGACAGTTTGACATTATTGTTTAATAATTTAGTAACGAAATAACGACACAGAAAAGAAAACAATTTATTTAAAATAAAATTTATAAAAAATAACCGACGGAAAATAAAAAAAAATATATAACAACACATAGAAAAATTAAAAACAACAGTAAGTTTAACTTATCTTACTTAAGTAAGGTGTTCAAAATGACCTCCCAAAACATCTATGCATGCTTGAAAACGGTCATTGAAAGAGTTGGTTACATTACTAAGCATTTGTAAAGAAATATTTTGAAATGCAATTCGGATTCTATTTTTCATATCATCCCTTGTTGTTGGGGGTATTTTATATACTTCGTTCTTAACGTAACCCCAAAAGAATGAGTCCATTTTATTGAATTCTGGTGACCTTGGGGGCCACCTTACCGGTCCATCCCTTCCGATCCATCTTTCCCCAAACTGATTATTAAGTTCACCACGTACTAATTCGTTGTGGTGCGCAGGAGCACCGTCATGTAGAAACCACATTTTTTCACGTATATTAAGTGGAACCTCTTCTAATAATATCGGTAACTGATTTACGATAAAATCTAAATAAATCTCACCATTTAAATTATCTTCAAAAAAATATGGTCCTACTACATGGTTACCGACGATACCTCCCCACACATTTAGAGACCATCTTGTTTGACTATGTGTTACTATGTGGTATGGATTACTTGTTGAGTAGTAGTGAAAGTTATGCCTATTAAAAGAACCGTTTCGATGGAATGTAGCTTCATCACCAAATAGGACATAATCAAAAAAATCTCTCTGCTCATTAATTTTTTCTAAGGCCCATTCACAAAATACTATTCGTTTCTGAAAATCATCATTAATTAATTCTTGGTGCTTTTGAATATGATAAGGGTGCATCTTGTTTTTAGATAGAATGTTTTGAACAGAGTAGTAACTAAGTTCTTGTTCATTGGAAATAGTCCTTATGCTTGTATGTGGGTTTTCTGTAACCGCCATCAACACACTCATTTCGTTTTCCTCTGTCACACTAGTTTTTGTTCGTTCGTGTTTTTCATAATTCACTGAACCAGTGCGGTTAAATCGATCTTTAAATTTTCAAATGTATCTAGTCTAGGTTGTCGCCTATCTGGAAACCGTTCTTGATAAATTCTAGCTGATAGTAATGAATTTTTATTGCATTCCCCCAATATCCAGATCATATCTACCATTTCATCAGTAGTAAAATTCATTATTGCTAATTTAAATTGAATCAATTACTGAATTACTAAATAATAATTGTTGCTAATTTACGGTGTACCCCAATACTGAATTAATAAATATTAATGTCAAACCGTCAGTTTCTGACAAATCAATCATGGCCAACTCACAATAATTATTGGTAAACGTTAAAATATCTACCAAATTAATACTTTGATGGAAAAATAAAAATATCTTTAAAACTAATAACTTTAGGTATAGGGAGTACTTCATAAAATATGAAGTACGATATTAGTTCTTTTCGATAGTGATATAAAATACAGGGTGTTCTATTTAAAATTACCAAGAAAATAATGTACTTGCATTTTGACTTACCCTGTATTTGATTTAACGAATATTATGAAAATGAATATGTTTTATAGTTTTAACAATTATTAAAAAACTATGGTTGCAATAGATCAATGTTCCTACAATCCTTTTTAATTATACAGGGAGTTAAACTTGATACGATTTTCAGGTAATATTGGTTATAACTTTTTAAATACCCGGTATAACATAATAAAACTTTACATTGTTGTAATGTGGAAGTGAAGCAGATTTCAAATTTAAAATAAAATACAGGGTGTTTCATTTAAAAAAACATAAGT